TCCTACTATCTCCCAAGTCAGGATGGTGTGTGGCTTTCAGATGGTCCAAAGATGTGCAGGCTGGGTGGATTGGCTATGCTAAAAATTGCCCCATAGTATCCACAGATGTGTAGGTTAGGTGGGTTAGTCCTGGCAAAAATCCAATGCAGGGTTACTGGGATGGGGTGGGATGCTGTTTGAAGGGATGGCACATGCTTGATGTGTAAAACAGTCTCTTTCTGTACTGTAGGAGTCTGAAAATTGAGCTTTTGGAGGATGTTGTTCCTAGAGCTTGGAATATTGCAGCAGGTTCAGGACCAAAATGTTAGCAGGACAGCAAGATGGTTGATTGAAATGGCAAGCAACTAGAGGTCAGGGACAGAGTGGCAGTGTTCCAGACACCCAGCCTGCATTTGGTGTCTCTAATATAAAAGGAAACTAGATTGAAAGTAGTAACATGTAAAACATTTCTTCAGCCAGGTCGTGTGTTTAGGGTCTTGGTGAGGAGGGAGGTGATGAATGGACAACTGACACACCTTCTGTGATTGCGTGGAGAGCAAGGAAACATTAGGAGTGACAGAAAAGTGGATTAGGATAGACACCATTAACAACTGTTTTGTCTTTTACACTATACCTTTTTCTAAAAAAAAAAACTTTTGACAGGCATTTTCCAATACCTTTCAGTTCAGAAGAGTCATACCAATCTTTGAAAATTTAATATTTCCTCTCCACAGGTGCAGTCAGACCTGAGGGGTTTCTCTAGCATCCTGTATTTGTTTCTGCTACCACTCTACATCAGTAAATGTTAAAGGTAGCGTGTAGGATGTCGGTCAAGCTGGGTGCATTGTTCTGGAATATGCCGAGTTTCTGGGCAAGATTAGCTGACTGAGATTAAGTAATACCTGTGCTGTAAAACACCATTACATTAGTGTTTTCAGCAGAACTTCCCCAAAGTACATTTATGCTATCCATTGCTGCTACTCCATGTAGTAACTGCTGTCCTACAGTTAGAGTCATAGAGGTCTACAGCACAGAAAAGGGCCCTTCAGCTCATGGAGTCTGGGCTGGTCAAATATAAGCACCTAACTACTCATCCCATTTTCCAGCACTTGGCCCATAGTCTTGTGCACTTGTGATGCCAAGTCATACATCTAAATACTTCAATGTAGAGGATTTCTGCTTCTACCATCCTTAGAGGTAGAAAGTTCCAGATAACCAGTACCCCCTGGGATGAAGAAAAAATTCCCCATCCCCCCTGAAGCTCCTGCCACATACCTTAAAATCTCTGCCTCCAGTCATTGAACCTTCTACCAAAAAGGGGAAAGATCCTTGTCTATCCTCTCAATACTCCTCAATCATGTCCCCCTCAGTCTTCTCTGCTTTAAGGAAGCCAACTCCAGCTTATCAAATCTCTCATCATAAAGAAAACAATCTATCACAACCCTCCTAAAAATGTAGATTGTGTATGGCAATAATTCCGACAGGTGCATTAAGTTCCACCAATATGATGGTATTAAAAAGGACTTCAGTGGCAAAAAGGCAGGATGTCTTGGGTCTTGAGGGGGAAGATTTACATTCACAGGTCTCCTAAAACAGTCTTAGTAATAATGCCCAATTTATGTACTCAACTGCTGCCATGCAATACTATATCTTGATTAAGACAAGTATCTCTCAAGACTCATTAGCTCTTGTGCTGTACCACTTAAACCAAGTAGGCATGAGTTAAGGTTGGTGGCAAACTACCCCAACCACTAGCTGGTAGTAGTTGGCATCATAGCTCAACAGTAGCAAATTTCACATTCCAAAGACACTTGCTAATGAAGTTTCTCCTTGAAGTCAAACTGGATTGGAGAGCATTTATTAAGTGGCTATTGTATTTGTGGCCTCTAGCTATTTTGGGAATTAGATACATCTTGCATTTGCACAGCCCTAAACACAAGCTCAGGACGTCACATAGCACATTTAGCCAATGAAACATGGTTTACTATTGTAGTGTACAAAACATGACAACCGACTTGCAAGGAAAAAGCTCCCACCAACAAGATAATGACCAGATGATCCATTTAGTAATAAACAGGTGAGGGATACATGTTGACCTGGTCACTTCCATCTACCAAGAGAAATAATCTTTTAGACTGAGTGCAGCATGTTGTTAGCATGAAGTCTGAAGGGGATTGCTCATAATTGAATCCTACTGTTTGGAATTGAAGTCACCTTATTTGATACACAAGGGCTGATATCTTTGCTGTCAACCTTTTGATTGAAGTTCCAAAAGACAGATGGACTGTTTTGGAGATACAAGTCACTCTCTGCTTCCCATCACTGTAACAGTGATTTACACAAAGAAATTCAAGCTGGGAGATTTCAGCTCATTGGTTTCAACTCTAATAGTGATGGCAGAGAAAGCTTTTTACTTAATGCTTGTTCTATACTGAGATGGGTGGGGACAAATGCAAACTCAAATTGTAAGGACCATTTAATCATTATCTTTCCCTTCAATCACTGACCAACCTCATCCCTTTTCAGAAGTTCTGTGTAAACGAACTGGGAAGTTGAAGCTTCTTAGAATGCAGGTACAATATTCTTACAATTTCTGTTAAATTGTTTCAGTATTCAGACCCTCTGTATCCCTGCCCTGCATAAAGATTATGTCACTTGCCTCTGCAGTTCAGGAAGCTGTTGCATTTTCAGTAGGCTTGGTGCTTTTGTTAAATGACTAACTTGCTTGATAGCAGGGCAGAGTAGAGTTTCATTTCTGTGACAGGGTATTGTCGTGTGCTATAGTTGCAGGACATCTGCTTGGGAGGTGAACAGTTAATATTTCAACATCAGGTGCAGAACAGCCATAAGCAGACAAAGTCAATTGGACACATTTACAATTTCCATCAGACTTCAGTGTAACTCTTTGTGCACAATACATCTAGACAATGAGCCTCTGACACAGCCCCTCTGAAACATTACTGCATGCAAACTGGTTTCTGTAGGACTCCTAACAGGGACAGCACAAATGGTCCCCCACAAACCTGGAACTCAGCACCAATTGAGATTTTTCAACCCCATCCAAGTTACAAAAAAGTAAAAAAGTAGTTCTGGAAAATCCCAGGACAAGATTCTCAAAAATCCAATTTGCCAAAAATATTGCACATTTCCAACCAAGGTAGAAAATTGAGAGCGCCTATAAAGTAACTGAAAACAACAGAAACAAAAGGAAAAGGGATCCAAAGTCAGAAAACCTGTGTCCCAAAACATTAAGAAAATGCAAGTCAGGTATTGGCACACAATCCCTGTCATAGTGCCATTTACTCCAGTTTACAAGTCAGAACTGTGGGCTCATGTGGTAGTAGTGACCTTATCTCTGGGCCAGAAGGCCTGGGTTCAAGTCCCACCTGCTCCAAAGATGGGTCATTACAAGTCTGGACAGGTTGATTAAAAAAAACCATGTACAAGGCAGATCAACACAATCACACCAGTGACAAGGCTTAGTACATACACTGCAAAAATTTAAAGAAAAGCTAGCTATCCATCTGATAATTGGGAAGATAAAGTGGTACCAATCTGAACAAGGGTGGCGTGCGCAGCATCAAAGATCAGTCATTAGAGCTGTCCTGATCTCAGACAGTTTGAATGGGGACAATCCAACATCTAGATTAGTTTATCAATCTAGTGAAGTAAAGCTCTATGCTGATGTGTAATAAACAATAAGTCATTAAAGAGAAAAACAAAAATCACCTTCACTTAGTGGTTAGCAGGTAGCCAAAGTATTATTGAGGAGTGTGCAAAAACCCAACCACCATACTCACTCAACAAGCCATAGAGCCACACTCACGACAAAGATTATTCATGGTCCAAAATAAAACAACTTATTCAGTCCTTTATTTCACTCAAGTATTTGAAACGTTGCCTTTGAGACATGAATTGCAACCTGTGCCAGATATCCATACATAAATAATTCCAAGCACAAGTCCCAAGACTTTACATTAGTAAGCACCCAACATAATATCTAAAAGCTAGGCCAGTGTCAGCTCTCTGGATAAGTTCACATTCATTCTCATCTTCCCACAAGATCAGCAAGAAGTTTGTGGGTGGGTCAGAGGAGAATCATCTTGGTCCCAAAGACATGACTTGTTCAATTTGTGCCTGTAGGCTAAAGGCATCTGGCCTTTCTTGTGGATTAAATGCCAGCATATCCCTTAGAAGTTTCTGGATATCTTTGTTCATAGTCCTTTCATTATTGAAAGGTATTGGAAGCTCCAGGCTGGGATTCTCCACTAGTGCCTTTCCCACAGGGACCAATTCATGCCCCTGAGAAAGGTATACACCTGCAAAAGCAAACCCAAACATCCCAGATTAGAAAGTTCTGATACTATCCAACACTCTTTGAAGTGTGAAATTTTACTTATTCCTTTTCTTGAAACAGAGCAAGTACAAGCATTGGAAAAAAAATACCAGTGAGAGTCTGGTGTGGACAATAGGAGATGAAACATCAGGAAAGATGGACATCAGAAATTGGACAGAGGAAGGAATGACAAAGCATGCACAATTAGAGTGAACAGAGGGTGTCTTTACAGGCTAACTACAGATGGATCCCTTTTCTTTAGGAAGCTAGAATTGTTCACATTTTGCTGTAATCTAAAGGAAGTTACTACAATGAAATTGAATATTGGTTTCAGATTACTTTGTTGAGTAACTGGAATATTCATTTGGGTGTTCTAATTCCTTAATTCATCAAATCAAGATTCAGTATTCTGACATTTGGGAACAGTATTATTGTTCAACTTGACAATACTGAAAAGACAGATTGTGAACTTGCTGCCTGGATGTACAGCTGGCATTGAAAGATATCATCTATTGTTATCAGCATTTCTTTTCCATTGAAGTCATTGGAATTGAATTGGGGGAATTTGTGCTAGTCAATTGACACTGATTTTACACCCCAAATCATGTTCAAAAGTCTGTTTGAGTTCTGAGGAAGGGTCACCAGACCCGAAACATTAACTGTTTTCTCCTTCACAGATGCTGCCAGACCTGCTGAGCTTTTCCAGCAACTTTGTTTTTGTTCCTGATTTACAGCATCCACAGTTCTTTTGGTTTTTGTTTATGTTCAAAAGTCTAATCTGAAAATCAGGATTTCAAAAATAAAGACAGAAAATTTTATTTAACTAAGCAAGATTTGAAAGTTCAGGAATGAAAAAACAGCTTACAATTGAAAGTCAACCTGGCTTAGAGATAGTGGGTCAGAATATTCAGAAAAATCTGTTTGGGGGCACAGGCTGGAGAACATAGGTGTTGAGATAGGTCCTTTGAACACCTCAGTCAAAGTAGTAGCTAGAAAAATGCATCAGATTACAAAGGCAGTGGTAAGTTGGAAACAAGAAAAAAAAACAACTTTTGGGTCTTGCAGCATCTATGGAGAGATAAATGTTGGTCTCAGACATACCACTAAAACAAAAACTGGATGCTAGAAATTCAAAGAAATCTGAGAGGAAATAAAGTTAGTGTTTTGAATCAAGTGGCCCTTCCAGTTCTGAAGGAGAGTCTCTGAACTCAAAACATTAACTCTCTCTCACCACAGATGCTGCCAGACCTACAAAGTTTCTCCAGCAATTTCTGTTTTAATGAATTGCAGTTTAAATTTGCAAGTGTTTTATTTTACTTTACTGAGTACTTTAATGCAGAGGTGCTTCAATGGAGGTTTAATGCATGGGTTGAAAGAATACCCAAATCTGCAAAGGCCTGTTGCTCAGAGATAGCATACACAATGAAAAGAGCCACTTGTAGTGAAAACATAGCATCAGGTCCCATATGCAACTTGGTGACATCCAGTTCATCTCCACCACCAGCACTTTCACCACCTCCATGGTCTTTAAACTGCTTGTACCATCCACTACTGAATGAGAAGTTTCTTCTAATTAAATATATAGAAAGCACTATTTCTCTGTCCATTCCCTAACCACCAACTCAATCCTTTCCAGGAGAAAGTAAAACAGAATGTTTGCAACCTTAGTATCTTATTTAACCAAAATCAGAAGCTCATCTTGCAAATCAATCACTAAAATTGCCATTTCAATCTTTCTACATTGGAACCCCTCATTCCAAACTAACGAAACAAACATAGGGATTGTTTTAGCATGCTCCTGGCCAACCACCTATATTCTATCCTCTACAAACATGATTATCCAAACCTTTGCTACCCATGTCCTAACACTCATCCATTCAGTCATCACTCCTGTATCTCAGGCTTAGCTTGGCTCCTGGTTTAACAAATTCTTCCCTGACTTTGCCTCTCCTCTTCCAGGTGACTTCCTACAACTCTAGGAAATCTGCTTTCTTCCAGTTGCAGGCTCTTAAGCCTTCAATTTTTTTTTTTTTTTTTTAAAAACCAACCCACTGGTGGCCCTGCCTTCAGCTACCTCGGCCTCAAGCTCTGGAATTTCATTCCCAACTTTTCCATATTTCCCTCTCTCCCCTGCTTAAAATCCACCCAGCCCAATGTCTCCTTTAATGACCCAGAAAATTTCATTTGACGTTACTTTGTGCAGTGTCTTAGGCCACTTTTGTTTTAAAGCCACTACATAACCACAAATCTGTTGGTCTGGTTTGTGCTCAGGTGGAGGTCCATTCCATGTAGATAAAAAGCTTACATGCACTGGAAGGCAATATTTAAGGCCCAACATGTCACCTTTGCTTATCAAATGTGTTTGAAGAGTTCTGACATTCACCTGGTAATAACACCCCACCCAAACACCATCAACACTCACCTAACTGTTCCTTCTTGACCTCAGCATCTCTAAAGGTGATTCTCTCAATTATGGCCCAGAACATGATCCCGAGGGCAAAGATGTCAACTTTGGCTGAGTACTGTCCCTCCCAGAGTTCTGGTGCCATGTAGAAATCAGAGCCACATGCTGTTGATGTTTGCCTTTGATTTACACTCCCTTTGCTCTGGCACATTTTACTCAAACCAAAGTCAGCAACCTGGAATACAAGAGAAAGGAGCAAAGGACATGGAGTCAATATCTCTCACTGGTTAACTACCCATGCTGCTCATGCTCAAGAACAAATTTCTCCAATCATTTATTGGACTTATAATTCAGAAACTAATTTACTGACCAGATACCAAGAGTTGGGTGATGGGGATCTGTGGGATCCAGTAGTGTTTAATTATTTATTTTAAAAGGCAGGTGGTCTCCCTGCTGTGGGAAGCATGTGGTGAAACTTGAAAGGGTTCAAAGATTTACAAGGAAGTTGGCAGGATGGGAGGGTTTGAGCTACAGGGAAATACTGAATAGACTGGGGAAATTTTCCCCGGAGCATTGGAGGTTGAGGGGTGACCTTTATAGAGGTTTTCAAAGTCATGAGGGGCATGGATAGGGTGAATAGGCAAGGTCTTTATCCTGGGGTAATGGAGTCCAAAAGTAGAGGGCATAGGTTTAAAGGCAAGAGGGGAAGACATTTTAAAAAAAAAAAAAAGGACCCAAAGGGCAACTTTTTCAGAGGGTGGTGCATGTATGGAATGAGCTGCCAGACAAAGTGGTGGAGGATGGTACAATTACAACCTTTATAAAGGCATCTGGATGGGAATGAATAGGAAGGGTTGAGGGGGATCTGGGCTAAATGGGACTAGATTAATTTAGGATCTCTGGTCAGCATGGAGGAGTTGGACCAAGAGTCCATTTCAATGCCATACAGCTCTATAGTTCTAAAATTTATTCCTCTTGAATATAGTCAGATCTTGAATTTGTACATACAGATATTTAATAGATTCAGGATTTTAGCAGATGGGCCTGTGATTTAAGCTACTAGATTTCACATTATGGATGAGTGAAGCAGAATTGAGGGGAACATAGTTACAGGACAGAAATAGCAGGTCCATGTTGGTGTTTAACCTCCTATGACTACAGTGCTTGGTTCTTATACCCCTTTGTTCTTTCCATCACCCATCTAATCCAGTTTTAAATACTGTCACAGCCTGCTTCAACAGTTAACAATTAGTGAATTTCAGACTCAATTAGTCAGTACCAAATCTGAAAGTTTAACTTTCTCTATAAAAAGTGGTTGAAAAAGCTAATGTTTACAAACAATGATGACATTGGACAGATTAACACCACCTCAACCTCCAGTGAGGACTTAAAAGCAGCACTGATTTCCAGCATCTGCAAACAAACAAAGGGCTGGCAACCTTTAGCATTTTTATAATTAAAAGTATTTCTAGTTCTTCAGTTCCTTTGCATGTCCTGACAAAAAAAATTGTCCATCATGCATTGTTACCATTGAGCACTCAGCTAAAACAGACAACATTTACTGCTAAGCCAAAAAAAAGTAGATACAGCAGAAAATTGAATCCAATCAGAATGATTACAGCACAGGAGGCAGCTACTTGAGCAGTTGCCTATAGTAAGAGTGATTTATTCACTCATGGCATATGGGTGTTGCTGGCTGGGCCAGAATTTATTGCTTGTCCCTAGTTGCTCTTGAGAAGGTGGTGGTGAGCTGCCTTCTTGAACTGCTGCAGTCCACATGCTGTGGGTTGACCCACAATGACATTAGGGAGGGAATGCCAGGATTTTGACCCAGTGACAGTGAAGGAACGGTGATATATTTCCAAGTCAGGATGGTGAATGGTTTGGGGGTTTGGAAATAGCAGGAGGTTGCATCCCCATGTATCTACTGCCCATTACCTTCTAGATGGAAGTAGTTGTGGGCTTGGAAGGTGCTGTCTAAGGATCTTTGGTCAATTTCTTCAGTGCATTTTGTAGATAGAAACAGTGTGTACTGAGCATTGGTGATGGAGGGAGTGGATGCAGTGCCAAATCAAGTGGCCTGCTTTGTCCTGGATGGTGTCAAGCTCAATATTGCTGCAGTTGGACCATCCAGGCAAGTGGGGAGTATTCCATTACACTCCTGACATGTGCTGTGTAGATGGCAGACAGGCTTTGGAGGAGAGGAGTTATTTGCTGCAGTATTCCTTTCTTATATCACTTGGAGTGAATTAATTGGCTGAAGACTGTCTGTGATGCTGAGGACTACTAGAGGAGGCTGAGATGGATCATCCAGTCAGCACTTCTGGTTGAAGATTGCTGTGAATACTTCAGTCTATTTTGCACTGATACTGGGCCTCTTTCATCATTGAAGATGGGGATATTTGTGGAGCTTCCTTCTCCAAATATTGTTTAGTTGTCCACCACCATTCATAACTGGATGTGTGGCAGGACTGCAGAGCTTAGATCTGATCTGGTAGTTTTGGGATCATTTAGCTATCACTTGCTGCTTATACTGTTTGGTGTGCAAGTAGTCCTGTTTGGTAACTTAACCAGGTTGACACCTCATCTTCAGGTATGCCTGGTGCTGCTCCTGGCATGCCCTCCTGCACTCTCCATTGAGCCGGAGTGGATCTCCTGGCTTGATGGTACTGGTTGAGTGGTAGTGACCCCATCCCCACAAAGACAATCCCATTCCCCCTCTCTCAAACCTAGCTTCTCTCCAGAAGTCAACCATCCCCACTAAATGTGGTAAGCAGAGATTAAAATATAAACTCAGATTTGTGGTCTCTTCACACAACAGCATCCTTGCCCTGGGTTTTACACAGCCTGATCATTCCTCTTCAGGTTTTTAATCAAACAGGTCACTCAGCCCTCCATCTTTGCAACTTCTCATTTTTGTTTCTCCTTGTACTTTAATGCCTCATCTGAGCCCAGTTCCACTTCCAATACTTCGCCCCTGAGGATGTGGACGTTCTGTTCATTCACTTAGTAATTGCACATGAATTGTGAACTTTGCTTCCTGGAGCTTGAATGCAAACTCCCTATTGAGATTCACAAGAGCAGGATCCTGGATTAGACTGCTTGCACAGTCTTTAAACTACTGATATTTTCATCCAAAAGTGACTGGAGTTTTTTTCCAGAATAGTTACATCTGCTGCACAGTCAATTTAAAGAAGCTATTACAGCCAACATTCAAAAGTCAGAGTCTGTGTCTCAGCTGATTGCAAGCTGGTCAACCAATTTCCTTCCAAATTGTAATACCATTTAAATGGTAACCATTAATAACTTTTCAATAAGACCCACTAAAATCTACTCCTCTTAATGTGTCAGAATATTTCCACTTTTTAAATATTATGACAACATTGAATGTTTAAAGTTGTACTGACTTGTCAACGCTTGCAATATATAAAGAGGAAGGATTGTCAGATCTAGCTTAAGTAAATAAAAAGTGTGGTCTGAAAAGTTTGTGCCAGAGTAAAGTATCAAGGGAAAGTTATTTTCCAGCTGATTCTGCAACAATTCAGGTTAAAAAAGTGTACATTTAAAAAAAGAGGGGAAAACTCGAAGAGTGAATGTGGGGTTTTCAGGATAGGTCTGGAGCTACAATGGAGCAGGATTGTGCACTAGCAACAGATCTGTTAGTACAGCTCAGAAGAATTTCAAATGATGGGTGCATTTTAAACAGATTTAATTTCATGAGGTCAGACTTTTTTAAAAAAAAAAAAAAAACAGGGTGAAGACAGAATTACATTTCAGGTTCAAGATTGCGAGGCTTCATCCTAATGGGAAAATTAGACACTAATCAGTAGCTGAGGTCTGAATGGATAATAGGTAATAGTGTCAGTAGGTTAGTGACACGGTCCTTAAAAGCTAGCGTGAATCCCCAGAAAGAAAATGACTTCATTTGTACGTTATTCACAAGGTCATAGGTTCAATCCCATCTAGACAGGACGATGCATAATCTCTGGACTGTGAAACTCTGCATTTTGGAGATCCAGTCACCACATTGACAGTGCCGGATGTAAAAGATACTGCTGCATTATTTGCAAGAGAAAGATATCATTTCATTGGAGGCAGTTCAACATAGTTCACTAGGAATGATCCCTGGTATGGACAGATTGTCTTATGAAGAAAAGGCCAAAAAAGTTGGGACTCTACTCACTGGAGTTAAGAAGAATGGGAGGTGATCTCATTGAAACAAACAAGAGATGATTCTTAAAGGGGCTCGATAGAGTAAATGCTGAGGATAGTTCCCCTCATGGGACAATTTAGGATTGGGGGTATAGTCTCAGAATAAAGGGGCAACAATTTGGGACTGATATGAGGAAGCACTTCTTCCTTCAGGGTGGAGACATTTTAATCCCCTGGTCATAAAGTCCTTGTGTATAATTAAGGCTGAGATACACAGATTCTTGATCAGTAGGGGCATCAAGGGTTATGGTAAAGGGCAGGAAAGTGGTTGAGAAATGTCAGATCAGCTATAATCCAATTGAATAGTGGAACAGACTTGGAGGGGCTGAACAGCCACCTCCTGTCCCTATTTCTTCTGGTCTTATAGGAAATGGAGATCTCAACAACCCAGAACAGTATTGATACTTCAATATGGCAAACACAAATTGCTTAGTCACTCATGTTATTGTCTAAGAGTCTGTTTTGCACAGATTATTATTTTTCATAAAGAAAAATAATATGTTTACACTTTATTGGTTGTGAAACACAGTCAGTCTGGAAACAGAACCTGCAGTCCAACTAGTCCATACTGACTATAATCCCACTTAACTACGCTAGGCCTGTATCCCTCCAAACATTCCTTATTCATGTACATATTTAAATGTCTTTTAAACCTTGTAAAAAAAAGTATGCACATCCACCACTTCATCTAGAAGTTCATTCCACATAACCAACTGTGTAAAGAGAAAAAAGTTGCCACATGATCTTTCTCCTTTCACTATAAAAATGTGTCCCCTAATCTGGAAATACCCCACCCTAGGAATAAGACACCTTTTCTATAAAATCATGAGGGGTATAGATATTTACAAAGTCACCCCTCAACTGCCTACACTCCAGTGAAAAAAGTCCCAGCTTCTCCTTGTAACTCAATCCCTTCATTCCCAGCATCATCCTGATCAATCTTTTCTGAACCATCTCCAGTCTAATAATATCCTTACTCTAACAGGGCAACCAAGACTAGACAATACTGCAGAAGATGCCTTACCAATGTACTGTATAACCTCAACAGGACATCCCAACTCCTAGACTGTCAGAGCAATGACAGCAAGTGTGCTACACACTTTAACCACCCTATTTATGTGACACAAACTTCAAAGAATTATGTACCTGAACCCCTAGGTCACTGTTCTACCACTCTACCCAAGGCCCAACCATTAATTGTACAAGTCCTGTCCTTGTTTGTTTTAGCAAAGTGTAATCCCTTGCATTTATCCAAATTAAACTCCATCTGCCATTCCTCAGCCCATTGAGCTAATTGATCAAGATCCCTTTATAATTTTAGATAACCTTCTTCACTGTCTACTATAATCACCAATTTTGGTGTCATCCATAAACTTACTAACCATGCTTTCTATAATTCTCATCTAAACTCATTTATATAAGTGACAAAAATGGACCCAGCACCAGCATCCTAAAGGAGGGGCATTCAAGAGGACATGGCTTTTAGATCCAACTTATGATTCAGTGTGCAGGAATATGGGGACAGACAGGAGACTGGCACTAGGTAACAGAACCTGCACAAACACAATGGGCTAAGTGTGCCATAACAGCTGAAGTATCAATACAAATATGTAATTACCCTTTTGCATGAAGAATAACCTCGACTCCTCACCTTTAAAAGAGGTCCAGTTGGAGTGTTGGCAATGAGGACATTGTCTGGTTTGAGGTCTCGATGGATGATCTGGTTGAGGTGCAGGAACACCACAGCAGCACTGAGCTGTTTTATGAAGCGATTGTTCATCCTGCCATCAGCACATCTGCTCAGCAAATAGTCATTCAGATTGCCCCCATCACAGAACTCCATCACAAACCACAAAACATGGGGCATCCTAGGGTCAAAGCAACACTTCCCCTTCAGGCAAGTCTCGATCAGGAGCAAATGGCTCTCTGATTCCCGAGGAGCCTTCTTGACCCTCTGGATGATCTCCTCCTTTTGCAGGATGCACTCACGAAGCCAGATCACATTTTGGTGTCTCTTCTTCACGCTGCTCAGTGCCCAGAACTCCTGCAGAGCCAGTTCTGAAGATTCAGGAGAGTTACACAACACTTTCTTCACAGCAACTTTAACTTGGCTCTTGCAGTGTCTTGCTTCATACACAGTCCCATAACTCCCTTGGCCAAGTTCCCCAATGATCTCATAGTGGCATGGCTTCTCCATCTCAATCCAGTGCTTCACCCAGCTACCTCCCACTCATATCACCACCAACTCCTGAACCTCAACTGCTTTAATCCTGAAGCACCACCACTAAATTAAGTATATTATAAGAAAATGAAACCACAGGTTGAAATTTAACCTTCCATCACCCAAGTATCTGCAGGAAAGCTCTCCGTTTCCAGAAGCAATCTATGGTTAAATACCTCAAACAAAAACTTATCTAATAAACATGGGACAAAAACATCAAATGCATTCAATGCATATTGTACTTTTAAAATTTCCCCCAACTCTTTAAAAACTCATATCATCTTTCAACCAAGTTCCTAATCCTTTCTCCCTTTCTTCCCTCTTGTATTTTTGTGACTCGCTCTCTGCCTTAAAAAGGTTCCACCTGGCCCTCATTGTCTTAGTACATAACGACTCCAATAGTACAAACTCATTTTTGATTGGTTGGGAACCAATTGCAAGAATTGTTTTCCATCCAAAAGAGAGCCAAAACATTATAATTAAACCTTGTCATGCAAAGGTATTGTCCTTACCTCTGTGCTAGGCTTCATATCTATAAGGAAAATTTGAATGTGGTTCTTCATCAATCTGGGGCTTAAACCCAAACATTGTAGGCCAAAAGTAAAGAACTGAAAATGCTGGAGATTTGAAATAAAAACAGAAAGTGCTAGAGAAACTCAGCAGCTCTGGCAGCATCTGTGCAGAGAGAAACAGAGCTAACAGTTTGAATCTAATGTGATTTTTTTTCAGTACTCTTCAAATACCATCCTTTCCCAGTTGTTTTCATTTCTGTTGAAGGGTTACTGGACTCAAAATGTTAACTCTGTTTTCTCTCCACAGATGTTGCCAGATCTGCTGAGTTTCTCCAGTGTTTTCTGTTTTTATTACTGAAAAATTGTGCTGGATTTGTACAGGTCTGGATAATATGCCTAAGAATGTCACATATGGTAACGGAATTGGAGAGAATGAAACTCCAGTGTTTTTGGGTAATTTATTTAAATTTAAATAAGAACCTGCCTTGAACCTATTGAAGCAGTGGTAAGACTGTTTGGCCAGAACCTGTTTATATCAGATGTGATCTAAGAACCGATTGTCAGTTAATTCCTATATAGCCAATATTTAATCATATTAAATTCAGTTCATTTGGCATGAACTAGAATATTAGTGGAGTTACACTTACATTTTCTGTCAGGTTTGTCCAATCTGTTCATTACCACTGACACTGGTGAGACAATCCTCAAAATGTTACTCAAAGTAACTATCAGTTTTCTTAAAGACCTTATTAAATTTATTTTTACATGCCACATTATCATATTCTGAGTCGCTATAGTTAGAATTTAGACTGAGTTTGTGATTAATAATCCATTTATAAGGGATCTGTCAACCAAGAAGTTTGAGGACCATCGTTATAGTTAGACACTGCAGTTACAGCGTGCCAATGGTGGAAGAAATGGTTAATGAGGCTAGTGACTGATCTGATGAACGGGCACAGAGAGATTTATAAAATGAGGTGCTGTGAACTTATAGGACACCATGGTTTACATCCACAATTCACTGAGTTTGCAATCTCCACTTGGTCACAAGGGATGGATGCAGACTGGAAGTAGGGCTGTGTCATGATTATGGCTGGAAAAAGGGAGGAAATGCCAAACGAATTGTCCTTACAACTGCCTGAGAAGCAAACCTCCTGTAGGTCTTCAGCAGCAGCATTATAAAACATTCTACACTCACTACCTAATACTGCTCATTATTGGGTAGCAGTACTAATTGTTTTGTGACAATGATGTGCTGAGAGGGAAGCTCTATGTCTTTGGTTCTGAGCTTGCACAGCTTGATTGTGCGTGGCACAATGATGTAATGCCTGAACACTCCAAGTCTCAGTCAATGATCTGATCAATCAGTCTAACTTACTAATAGGGTTTGGAAGGATACCCTTGATAGGCCCTAGCTTCTCATATTGAATCTTGCAGCACAGAAAGAATCTATTCAAAAAAATCATATCTTTGTAAACCCAAGATATTATATTAGTCCCATTCTTCCTGATCTTTCCAGATAGCTTATTTCAACTAGTCCTGCTGTGATTGAATTGTTCTACAGCATACTAATTTCCCATACTTCCCTGCAATACTGATCTCAACAGCACAATGATAGACAAACTGAAAGTGATATTTCAGTTGGTGACTAGTGAAATGATTATTTGATTTCTTTCCCTTTGATGGGCCACCCACCTTCCTGGACTGCCCTGAAACTCCTGCACATTTTTACTACCTACTGTTCTCTTCCTTCACCAAAACCTTTACAAAGTTCAGAGAAACCACAGGCATTTGGGATCATGATATCTGGTTAAAAAGGTCTAAATTTACCCCGTTCCTCACTTTTAACGGCAGATGGTTCCTATTTGTACTCCTCTTCTGGTAGATCGATAGCAAATGGTCTTTTGTCCAGTGCACACATTTATACATTGAATAATCCTTTCTAACCTGACTACTGCAACAATCAAAATTGTAGTTTCCTACAGGCTGCAGCTATCTCATGCAAAATTCAAAGTGCTTTAATGATGTGATGGAATTATGCCATTCCTCCCTCTAGGTTTCTGAAATAACCCCATGTTATTTCTGGCTTGTTTCTGTACTTGCTTTTATGACTTGAGTTTAATTTAATCTGTTGATGTTTTAAATTCATTTCACAGCTGATCTACCATCATGTTGTGGGCTTTTGCCCTCAGCTGGGTGTTTGTACCTGATGAAGCAATACTTATGTTAGCTCCTGTAACATAGGGCGACATGTTGGCTCAGTGGTTAGCACTGCTGTCTCAGCACCAGGGACCCAGGTTCAGTCTGTGTGGAGTTTGCACGCTCTCCCTGTGTCTGTGTGGGTTTCCTTCGGGTGCTCCAGTTTTCTCCCATCGTCCAAGGATGTGCAGGTTAGGTGTATTGGCCATGTTAAATTGCCCATAGTGACCAGGAATGTGCAAACTAGGTGGATTAGCCATGGGAAATGCAGACTTACAGGATGTGGGCGGTGTGGGATGCTCTTCAGAGGGGCAGTGTGAACTTGATGGGAAGAATAGCCTGCTTCCACACTGCAGGGTTTTTGGGTGTGTACGCAACATTCCTTCTAGACTGTGTGACCTGTGCAGCTTCTGTGATGTTCCATGCATATCAATCAGTGTGCCTTTGATGTAACTCTTTGTTTTAATTTGGTAAGCAATATTCACATAGCACCCAAATTCAGTCAGGAAAGGGTTGAAATGCATCGAATATCAAATCAAAACATTGCTATGAAACCATAATATCCAGAAGAAAGTTAGATTATTTTATTCAGATTGTGTTTACAGACTGTTCTCAGAGCATTAAGAGAGACAGTCCTGTAGTTAAATTTGTTTCAATGGTACTGATGTCACCTTTCTCATAAAAAAAGGATAAGTAAATGTGGAATGCTGGAAAGTATAAAGCAAGACTGGAGCATTTGTAGAACTGTTCAGTACTCCTCCAGAAATTACTGCACAGTGGGTAAAACTGATGACAAACCTGCAGGTTATCCTGCTTTCACTAATTCAGTGGGACAGGCTGGAATGAATTATGGAAGTTTTTTGTTTAAAGGTGAAGTATTCTCATGGATGTGTAGTGACAGAATTGTTATGATACAGAAGGAGGCCACTCCGCCCATTTTTTCTGCACTGGCTCTCCAGCTGGCCATACTGACTCAGGACTATTCACCTGCCTTTTGCCCATATCCTTATCCATTATTTCTATTTAAATACTCGTCCAATGCCATCTTGAATGCCTCCATTGACTCTGCCTCCATCACACTTCCAAGCAGTGCATCCCAGAACCAAACTACTCATTGTATGAAGAACTTTTCTCACAACACATTTGCAATATTTGCAATTCATTTTAAATCTTTGCCCTCCTGTTCTTGATCCTTTTACCAGCAGCAATCATTTCGCTCTATCTACTCTATCCAGACCTCTCATGATTTTGAAAACTTCGATCGGATTTCCTTTTAGCCTTCTCTCTAAGGATAACAGTCTCAACCTCTCCAATCTATCTTCATTACTTAATGAACTTTATTTTTAATCTCTGGAATTGTTTTTTGTAAATGTCTGCTGCACTCTTTTCAAGACAGGAATTAGAGTTGTTACTTTTAGAGATTTTGGATCAGCCACTTGCTGGTGGTCAGAGGTGGTTTGTAAATGTGCTTTAATTAGTAGCTGTATAATTGTGAAGATTGCACCTAATTTGCCCATTGATGGGAAGTGCCTTTGCTGGGGCTGGTTTGCCATATCCAATGGTTCTGGATCAACCAGTTGAGACTGTGGAAACTGAAGTTCTTCTAACAAAGGAAAATCTGTCACCCAATCCTACAAATAGTTTCCTAAGCATTCTTCCCCGTCTTAAATCCCATCTCCAACACTACATGAATCACATGGGCTTTATATTCAGTTAGAAATACTGTTTGGATGTTCTTTAGATCCCAACTCTGTTTCAAGTTGGAAGCAAATGGACAATCTGAAGTTTAACTGTTCACAACATGGCATTCTTGATACCTTCCTGGTACTTTGATGATAACCACAGTGTTATTGTCATTGAGGAGTGACCTTGAATAGAGGTTTATAAAATCATGAAGGGCATAGATAAGGTGAATAGCAAAGTTCTTTTCTCTAGGGTGGGGGAGTTCAAAACTAGGAGGCATATTTTTAAGCTGAGAGGAGAAAGATTTAAAAGGGACCTGAGGGCAACTTTTTCACACAGAGGGTGGTTCGTATGAGGAATGAACCACCAAAGGAAGTGGTAGACGAATGTACAGTTACAAAATTTAAAAGACATTTGGACAGGCACATGAATAGGAAAGCTTTAGAGGAATATGTGCCAAATGTCATCAAGTGGGACTAGTTTAGTTTGGGACACTTAGTTGGCACGCTCGAGTTGCACCAAAGGGTCTGTTTCCATACTGTATGACTCTATAACTCCATGTGAACCCCTTACACCTTCATTCCAACAAATAAATCTGGGCCTTCCTTTAATCCTTAACAGTCCCCTCACCAAGGTCTGTTGTTAGGCAGACATCAGAACAGATCACATGAACACTTTAATCTTATGCTAAATTAAAAACATTGTCCAAAAATATAGTAATCTTAAGAATCTCGTACTCATCCCTAAAAGATGAAAAGATGATGATGAGTTTTCAAAACCGTGAAATTTGTTATTCTGAACACTTGACCCACAGACATAATATATGCAGCTCAAATAAGATTTCTGAACCATGTTGTCACATTTTTCTACTTGACGGTCCAACTTGGCAACATCATAAAGTTTAGCCTCTATCAACA